TCCAATATTGGGATACATCTAAAATACATTGTAATCCTTCATCAGTGAGTGTCATGTGGTTTATTTCTGCTTAAAATGAGCTCTGTGCACAGCAGCCCTTCAGCTCACACTGTAAAGTGGATTTGTTTTTTTATTTATTGTGTAAGTTTAGAATGTTACATAAAATGTACACAGTAAGTTGATATGTGGGAGAGTTTTTTGGAGGGGAGGGTTGGGGGCTGCTACTAGGACAAATGAGCTGTGGCCCTTTCCTAGAGCAAGAGCTCTTTTTTTTTTTTTTTCCCCCCTTCCCATGGCAGACATGAATTACTCATTTGAATGAATTTAAAAAAAAATAAGAGGCTAAGGAAATAGCATTTGAAGCATCTAAAGGCCTTATGGAACTGGGGTACATCTGTTTTAAAGCACAATAGTGCAGACTGTGTTCCTCAAACAGTTGTGGCAGTCCAATTCTTTCTATTCTAACTAGGCAAGAGAAGTCACAACTGAGGAATCTGTCAAAATAGCCACTGTGTGATAGCCACGAGTAAGCGTCATTTCCACATGGGTCCTGCGCTCCAATCCTTGCAAAGTGCCAGTGGTTTAGCTGTAGCAGACACCTTTGGAGGAGAGAGAGGAATCGCATGGAAGTGTCAGCTTGGGAACATCTGGAAATGGCAGCTGTGGGGATGGGGCACTGACCTGCTTAAGGTTAAAGAACAACTGAGAGCCAGAAAGAAACTTTTTCTGAAACTCTTCCCTAGGCAACCGTGTTGGAGAAAAGACAGCAGCCTGGCCAAACCTCTTACCTGACAGAGCTACTCTTGCAGGACCGCTTGTATGAAGGTAAATGGGATCAGGCTCCCATCTGCTCAGATGTGCCATGAAGTTGGACGCAAGAGAGAGGGAGCGAGCTTCAAAAAGGTAAAATATATATGTTTTTCTCTTCTTTAAAAAGCATCTTCTCTATTCTATCAGAGCTCTGGCCACTGTTACTTAATGATTCTGTAATTACTGTGACTTAGGAAGAAATGTGACAAACTTCCCCAGACCAAGGTCTTTGTGTTAAACCCTGTGCAAATACATAGCCCAGGCAATTCTCTTCTAGAATGCTCCAAGAAGTAATGGGAGTCTGAAAAAGGAAGTGTTCCTCAATACTGACTGTCCTACATGTGAATTAGCCAGACTGGTTAAAGCTTAATTAAAAATTGCCAGAGTGGCTAAATCCTTTTCTAAGTGCAGCTGCAAAACATTAGCTGTGGGCATATTTTAGACCTTAATGAGTAACACTTGCACTGGAGGACCAAAATGCATGCAGCTGCAGTCAATTACTATCAGTATAGCACGTCTGTAGGCAAAACAAGGGTGTCCTGAAAATGCTTTAGTGCCCACCTGGAAAAAATACTTACTTATGTACAACAAACTGCAAAATCAAACATAACTACAAAAAGTCTTTATTGAAAAAAAAAAAAAAAGCAGATTATAGCCTCTAAGGTTAAATGAAACTTCTGACTTTAATATTAAATAACTTAGGATGATAGCAAGTAGCTTCTTTAGATAAATAAATCTACATTTCCCAATTTTTTTCTTCAACAATCAAGGGAATCAAACACTGAAACACAAAAATCACAAGTATTTCTAAAGACTAAATGACAGAAGCACATTGAAAGGTTTTACAAGGATATATTTACAAAAATAGTTAAACTAATGTATATTTGCAGCATGTAAACTAGTTACATGATATACAAACTGGGAATTTATATATTTCCTACAAAATAGAAATCAATGTTGGTCCAAGTTCTTGGAAGAAAACTATATTCTTTTAAAGAAAATGAAAATATTTCTCAAATGAAAACTTAATTTAAGTCAAATTATATACTCTAGTTACGGCATTAGTTACAGGATGAATCACAAACTTTTCAACTTTTCTTGAAACACAAGAAAGCAGCTTTTGTCTCCTTTAGAGCTTTGGTTTACTTAACTACTCTGGAATTCCTGGTCTTAAACAGCTCCTCTAGCCGTGCTTTCCTTCTGAAGCACCACGTTACAGCACACACACACACACACACACACACACAAGCGCCTGCACAAATGAAAGGAAAAGAAACCCAAACAACCCCTTTTGAATGCTGAATTATCTGAACACGATGTTCTTTTGTTTACAAATTATTATTTTGGTCCTCGCTTTGGAACTCTGTCCTCCAGTGCACTAGGGACTCTGCAGCTCCTGGAACAGCTATGTCCTGCAGGGTGGTTAAGGCTGCCTTACCACCACGGAAGGGTGTATTCCTGTGCACCTGAGACTCAGTTTTACTGCTGTAACCGTATGGAAATACTTGGAAAGTTCAGGGCACAGACAAGGCTTCTCCTGACTAATCACATCATAAAATGAATACTAGAAAGTTTACCTTTGTGTTGAACTGATTTAAGGTAAGAATAGGCCTTAAGAAAATCATTTAAAGAAGCTTTCTCATTTACATAATTCTCCAGACAGGAGGTAAAATGTACAGAAACTGTCCCTAACCTACACAGTACATCATCATTTTGGATTAGTTTATTTTTCTCTGTTCTTTGATTAACAACTGGCAAATTTCACTCAGGCACCAATTTCTATATTAAGGGCTGGAAAAGAAAAGCTGTACTTCATTATACAGGAACAGAATGCACCTGTCTAGAAAAGTACTGGGAGAACAACTGCTGCTTTCTGTTTTTAAGCAAATTGCTTATTCCATATTGAGCTTTAAATAGTTTCCTGTGATGATACTTAACACATTTGAACTGAGTAGAATTACAAGAAAGAGAGACAAATTAACGTGTGAAATGAAATATTCTAAGTATGATCATTTTCAAAAATAAAAGTATTGTATGTACACGTTAGATCCTGTGCTGTCCCCTGGAAAGTAATGCTGCTGTGGAGATCTAACCTTCCCCCTGAGGGAGGCAAAGTACTAAGGGAGAATGACAGAGGGCTTGTCTGAAAGCCACAGTAAACGTGTCACCTCTGGCTCCTGCAACTCCACAGGTTTTGTTCCCATGCTGGTTGAGCAAAGCATTTTTCAATATCAATTCTGTCATGGGATGAACTGCTCAGAGGCGCAGACCCAAACCTTCTCTGTGTCTTTTAACTTTTTTTTTTTTAAATTGGCTTCCTTAAAATATTTTGGAAGGACAAGCATGTAAAAATGCCTTGAAGCTAGAGGTGCTCCAAAGCAGCTTCCTTCAATCGAGAAATATTATACTGTAACTGGTGCTAAAAATTTATCTTGAAGCTCTGGCGCCTTCCATTTGATGTTTTTATGTAATAACCTTAACGAATTGACCTATCCGTACAATACAATTCAAGGCATTTCTTTCCTGTGTTGGAATCTGCTGCTGGGACATGTGAGGCTCACGTGCACTCTGAGCCTCGGCAAGTTCAGAGAACACGGGCAGGCCCCCAGTGCTCACCCTGCTGCAGGCCAGGCTGCACTGCAGCAACACGACACGAGTTGCACTGTAACTCCTTCAAAAGATGGCTCTTGCATTAAATATATTAAACTGGTATATTTAATTACAAAATGACTGCTTAAAGGAGCATGTGACTTGCCAAGGAGTGCTCAGTAGGACAGGTGCATCTAGGCCAAAAGAAGTCTGGCAAAAGTTCAGGAAAATACACCCTTTGTTTCTTCCTAAGATAAAAAAATATATTTGAGAATTTTTTTCCTGTCCCTCCCTTTGTCCCCTAAAAGGAAATTCCAGACTATCAGGCAGTTCCGTTAAGGGAGTTAATTATTCCATTTAGGAATTAGTGTCTATTGGATGCCCTTTGTACTTTTCAACAGCACCACAAATGGCTTTCAGAAAATCAATGGAACATAGGAACTAAATGGCAATGGCGTTGCCACATACGTCAAGTCATCCCATCAGTCTGTGTGTTGAGTTTAACATGTGACCATTTCAGAACTGATTCCTCAGATTCTCGACTTGTTGTGAGCTGGTGTGGAACTGTCTCCATTTCCACATGCTGAGAATCTGGTCTCGTATTTCCACTTCCTCTAGAGCAGAAGAATTTTATTGTGATTTTGGATACAGTTAAAAACAGCAATGATGGATTTATTTAAAATATAAATTCAGGAAGGCTGAATCAATTCTCATGAGAATGCAAGGAATTTTTTAAACATACAGATGTGTGATTTGCATGTAAATCATCAACACATGGTAGAAAACAAACCATAAAAAAGATTCATCTAACTTCCTATATGGAAGACATATATTTCCCCAGAGCTCTGAGGTTACTGTAAAAGCTTATGCGAAATAGGAAAGTGTGTACATTCTATGTACATCTAATACTTGTTATAAAATATCAATGTTTCAATTGTCTTTCTAAATTATTATTTCTCCTAACTTGTACTTTGTTTTCAAATGAAGACAATCACTGTAATCCGTTCAAAAGTACATCTAGAAAAGAACACAAAGCTGCAAAGATAATACAAAACCACTGCCCCCCCCTTTTTTATGTTTCAACATACAATTGTAAAGCGGTTGGTAACAAATGGTGTCTTGTATAAAACAAGTAGCATAAAGACAAGTGGAACTTTGCATAGCCAAAGGGGCTGTTAGCCCTATTAACAAAAGAACAGGTTTTAAAAACGATGTTTTTAGTAAGTGCCAAATCATCAAGTCAATATGAATGTGTTTTGAAACCATAGCTACTCTTGTACATGACAGGTAATAACAGAGGTCTGAAACTTTCTTCAGCTGTAACAACCCTCCGTGTACCAATCTTTTAACTCTTCAAATGGGTATGTTCTTCTATTATATAGTTTCTATATTGAGATACCTGCCATATTTCTTTAACAAGCTATAGCCTTTGGATGACTGTGGAACCAAGCAGGATGGAAAGTTGGCTTGAAGCGTATTCATAAAATTCTGCTATTTAACCCATGCTGAAAATTGTCATTGCTAAAACTACTACTTTACTTTCCTATTTACTACCTCTGGGACTCTAAGTTTAAAAAAAAAAAAAAAAAAAAAAAAGACTTTATTCTTTAAGACCGGAACGCAGTGAAACTAGCTAAAATGCTAGCATTTATCTTATCGGACTTGCTGCGATATGATAAGGTGCTAACTTTTGGGTAATAATTCTACACTGCTTACCTGGGCAAAACCTCCATTGAAGGGACGTGAAGGGAGTGCAGAACAGCCCTTTGTACCAGGGTTTTTAGAAATGCTGCCATTTACAATTACAGTTTAGTGATATATTATTTGTTCAAGTAGACAGTGTCTTGGTGAAAATGTCTAGATAAAAGAATGCATATGTACAAGATCAGATAGGACCCCTCACCTTTGATTTAAAAAATAAATAGCTGGTATAGATGGTTATTACAGGAATCTCATCTTTAAGGGAATGTGAAAGTCATTTTTAAGATTTCTCTGTCTTCTCTTTTATAGGGCGTGTGGTAATGGAAAGTGTCCTTCAGAGTTCTGTGACATGCATTGGGTAGCTCGGAGGTGGATGTGATGGCAATTTAATATTAAGGCGCCTAATGTGACAGCTGTGGCAGAGCAAGTGGCCCTCTAATGGGTAACAACGATGACCTTCTTCATCATTGAGCTGCAAACCACAATCCTAGAAGGAAAACAGACATCCTAGATAAGTGAGTTGTTTAGGTAAATCCTAACAGTGTTGAACTGTCTTGCATGATCCTGAGAGCTTCCCCTGATACCTATAAAGGCAGCAACCTCAAGCGTTTGTGGTAGATGGACATTGACTGTCTAAGAGTATTAGGCAAACTGTCATCACTGAAATCTAACAGGACAATCTATAGCATTACCTTGGCCTGGGTCAAGCATTTATTTTCACTGAATCCTATTCTGGTCTCTGCATCTAGAAAAGGCTGATGCAAAGTAGACAAAAGCCAACCAAGCATTAACTTGCTACCTGGCTTGAGCTTTGTAACAGGCCCCAAAAGAAAGAGAAACACGGGAAGCAGCAAAGTTTCCATAATGATTACTTGCTTTGCATGGCCAGCAGTTGATGATGGTAACTTAACACAGCCACTTCTGAAACTGTTAAGTTGTCTTCGAGATTGGGCCTTTGTAAAGTGTCTGTTTGAATACCTCAAAATAGCGGCACTAACTTTAACTAGCAGTATTTGGAAGTATCAGTATCTCAGTGTGTACAGTTTGAGAACCTAATCTGAGGCTGCTAGGCAGCAATCTCCCCCTCTTAATACATGGCCAACCCCCTAATTTCTGTATGTAATGCACGCTGCCAGTCTGGGCAGATGTGGTGGCAGCTTGATTTGCCTCAAATTGGAAGGAGAATGGGGAGCTGAATAATGAAATAGAACTAGAAATAAACCCCCATTGGGACATTCTAATATAAAGTCAATAGACTCAGAGAGAAGGGGAGGGAGCTGTCATCTTAGGTGAAGCTTGTACAAAGCAGTAGATGGGGGAAGAAGGAGGAGGGAAGCACAGCGAGCTCTTCAAAATACTTAGATTTTTCTCTGCCAAACTATCTTAAAAATTAATAGGAAATTATGAAGCACTGCCTCCATTAGAAAGAGATAGCTGAGTGGACTGACTCTTCCTCACATTTAGGTTCATACACATTTCAAGATTCCCTGAATTTTGCTCTATTCTTCCTCATTTCAAAACTCTCTATATAAAGTCCTTTTGTGCGGGAATGCATGGAAGGAGGATTGCTTCATTTTTTGCTTCTGGAGCCAGCAAAAGTCACACTGGTAGCTGGAAGGCAATAGGTGCATTTTGCATCAGACAAACCTACAGTAAAGAGGAATTTTGGGGTTGATCTCAGATTAGAGAGGTTGTTTGCCTGACACAGAGCTAAGCCTGAACTCAGCCCTTCTCCCTTTGAAACAAACTTATTCCACAGCTTAGTCTCTCTGCCCCCATAAATATGTAAGTGTCCTGCAGCCAGCTTTTGAAATCAGTTTACTGGAAATAAAGAAACCAATTTCATGCTAGTGGAGATGACAGCACCACTTGCAGCTCGGCTAACAAGTGGCTGCTCCATTCACTCTGCCTCCCGCAGCAGGGCCGCTCCTGCCCGCGCACACGCAGGGGCCGCCCGGGCTGCGCTCCCACAGACGCCAGACGCTCACCTCGCAGTGGTAGCACTCCACGTGGTAGTCTTTGTCCATCGAGACCACTCGGATGGTCTCCTCAGAGCCCTGTTTGGACAGCACAGAGAGTGTAAGACTGGGCTTGTGAGTTGTGTTTGTCAATATTCTTTTAGTGCCCAACCTGTGGCTTTTGGAAGCTCTTTCTCTGCAGAAACTCCTGTCCCTCTGCAGAGCAGCTCTGTGACAGCTCGGGGCTTTGTCCCCACAGTACACAACACTCTACCACTGTTTTCAGCATGCAGCAGCACTTGGATACCTGACCTATCTGGGCTGTCGAGCACCTTTAGGAAGTGTGGCCAAAATAAATTTCTCTTGAAATCCAATCATTTCTCAAAGGCCTGCAGGATTTGAGGAAATTAGCAGCAAAGAACTATGACCTGCTGATCGGGCAACTTCCTCTTATGGACATCCTGGCCTGATCTTTCCAGGAGTGTATCCTGGTGCACAGCTCTCGCGCACGCACACACACACACATATGCACCCCACAGGGCTTTACATACGAGTCTGGCAGGTCACTCTGTGCACATGCCAAAGCCTCAGCGTGGTGGGGCAGTGGAGTTGTGTAATTCCTGGATGAGTTCTAGCCCCTGAGAAGCAGCCCATACCCTTCTTGTAACCTCACAGACTCCTTTTGTGAGCCACTCTCATGACAGAGCTCATTATTTTTTTCCTTGCGCTGTTTCCAGTTCCAGGTGTGGTTAGAGCATCAGAGATGATGTACACTGTGTCTGAGTGAAGCTGCGGACAAGTTAGCACCTGCACTACTAGTCATGAACCAACCTACACAACCTCCCTGGGAAAGGAGGTAGAGACTGTCCCGGAACTATCAGATGAGTCAGCATTAGGACAGCTACACTTAGAAAAGGAGCTTTGTTAAACACAAAACCAGTGAAATTTAGATAGGGCCTTTCTCCTCACTCCCCTTTAGCAGGGCAGACATTTCTTGCTCACCTTTCAGAAGTTTTTTTAATGCAGCTGAGACCTGGCCATGTAAAAGAATTAATAATGACATGATGTGCAGAGTGGTGGAGGGTGCAAGCTGTGCAATGAACACTCTGGCTCTGTGCAGAGCAAGAGGAAGAGGAGGGAGGTACCAAGTCAGTGCATGTTAAAACATACCTGTGCTGGTAGAATCGGCTGGTTACAGGAAGCACATTTTGGTGCAAAAACCCTATGATGCAAGAAGAAAGTGTTCAAATCACAGTCAAAGCTTCTTCCAAAAAAAAAAAAGAAAAGAAAAAAGAAAAAAAGAACCAAAGAGGCCATGTCGTCTTTTTAGCAAAAAGTAGAGAACCAAACAATTTGAAACATCTCTAAAATTTTACTGAAATCTGAGGAAAGAAGATTCAGAAGAGAGGCTGATCTACCCCAGCTTTTTATTGCTTAGGCCTTCCTGATCTCTCCAGTCATAACCAATCCAATACGCTTTCTACATGTGCTGCCTTTTTTCTTTCCTTTATTCATAAAGCTATTCACATTCTACCACAGACTCCCTGAAAGCAGCTCCTGGCTTAGGGATGGTCATCAACCAAGAAGACGTGACCCTGCTAAATAGAAAAGGGACTGATACTGGCTAGGATATACTTATTAAACCAAATAAATCAACTGGTTTTACCCGCAGCTATGTTTTAGGACGATCACTGGGCCAACATTCACTCTGCTCTTGCCACGTGGTCCATTAAACCAGTACAGCCGAGCGCAGAGTGATTTACACTTGCTGCATAAGCTGCATTATTGGTTGATAGGAGCTAATTCACATGAGCTTTGAGAGGGAGCAGAAAAGAGCCCAAGAGTAATCATTTAAACCTCAAAAATGTGTTGCCAAGTGAGGCTAAAATCCCACTAGCTAATTACGTGTCCACTGTCCTGTACAGGTTAACGTACCATATACTCCACGGTCACACACTGCCACAGTCTGGACTCTTAGAAGCAGCCGGCAGAGCCTGCCATCACTTACAGAACTAGCCTGGCTTGATTAGTGAAATAAATAGAGAAGCAGCCACCAGAAAAATACCCCTTCCGACACAGTTTGATTTGCAGCCTTACTGGGAACACATCTATGTCACTCTGGACCAACAAAAGGATCTATAATACAGCTTCAATATACCTTACAAATACACAAAGCACTGTGGGACTCTAGAACAAATAGGACATCAGAACAAACAGGCACTTTTTAAACTACTGCAAGGCTTGTAACAATAATTAACATTTTCTTCAAAACATGCAATGGATCTGTGTACTTACGTGTGATAGTCTTTGACACAGTAAATATTGTTCTCCACATCTACCGTGAAGGGGACTCCATCCAAACATTCGTTACATACCACGCAGCGGAAGCAGCCAGGATGGTACGACTTTCCAAGGGCCTGTAATATCTTAGGAGGTAAACAATAAAATGAGTGGATGCACAATTACATGAGCTCCCCAGCTGTGTCCGATTCTTAATAATGCACTTATTAGGTGAGTGAGAAATGCACTTAGGACAAAATTACCACTCTGCAAATCTATCAGCAGGGGGCTCTTCTAAAACTAGTAAATTGTTGTTTCGATAGTTTTATAAAAGACTCTCAGTAGAAAGAGAGAGAACTGTGAAAAAAATCAAGCTAAAAATCAAGTCTTAGTTCTACAGAGCCAATATATTAAAAATGGCTTCCTTAGGAAAAAACGTATGAAACCAAATTAATAGCACTTCCCCCCGCCCCTTCATGAATCCCTACAGTTCTCTGTTCAGTTACTGACATGAGATGCTGCAAGCCTGTTCCTGCTCAGAAACTGCTCCTCTCTGCGCGTTTCTGTGCAGGCCGCGCTAGGACAAGCTCTGCAGCAGTGAGCACAGAGCAGCTCCCGGAGCAGCTGAGCAGCGCCCGGCCGCGGCGTCGCAGCTCTGCTCCCTGCCACGCCGGTACCGCTGCGTGCTCACTGCTGGGGAGGACCAAGAAGGAATTAGCCAAATAAGAGCTGAAATCGTGGCACTCCCACTGCTATTTCCTTGTGCTGGAGCGTGCTTAGTGATGGGAGAAAGGCCGGGAGCACCTGTCAAACTTGCAGCTACTGCACTACAGCACTCAGCTTCCACGGAGCCCTGCCTGGGATCCTGCAATTAAGGGCCACCTCAAAGCGCGCCAAGTCAAAAACCCTCCCCTCCCAGCATGACACAACTCCAGAAATTCGCTCCTGGGCTAAAACGAACAATATACTTGTTCAACCAGTGGTGCCAGGATAGGAGCCAGAATCCTCATTAGTTGTTAAGTCTTTCTTCCAGCTTCTCCTGAACCTCCATGTTCACAACGCAATAGCTACCTCTGTTAGGCATGCTGATGCTCATGCACATGTTAAAGCAAGAGGAAAACATCCATATATTATGATAATAGATCAGCTCATGCTACATATACCATGAGCTGCACGTCAGTGTGCAGTCCACTTTGGGATTTTTTCTGCTTAGAAAGACCAATCTAAACTCATCATACTTTCACCCAGCGAGATGATGCCAGAACTATCTGGCCCACCAACAGCCCTTACTTTTTATTATAAAATAAACTAACTACTGGCTCCCTGCAAATGACAGAGGTCTTAGTGCATTTTAACAGGCGTGAAAGCAAAAATATAGAAGTGGAGCAAGTGGCAGAAGGTAAATAAAGCAAGTCACAGAACCTGCAAGAAACTCAGGACTGCGAGTACGTGTCCCTCTCCTCAAAAGTCTGTCCCGTCTCCCTTGGCTAGAGAGCTCACTAGTCCAATGTCTTAGAGAGCAGCCTCTTCTTTTTCTTCACCATGTTCTGCTATGAAGCTGTTCTGCATTTTCCTCTTTGGTATTAAAATTTATAGTTGGCTGCCTTTTACTGATAGGAAAACCTGACATTGCAGAACAGCAGCCTCCCATGATCTTAGGAGGAAGAAAGGCCCAACTTAGTCTATCTGATAGCAATACAACTTTATAGCTTATTTATGACACTTCCTGAGCTTAAAAACGTATCTGAGCAATATTGGCGACATAACAATAGTTCGACTAGAGAAAAAAAGCACAGTGTGCCAAAGTGCACTATCTGAAATACAGCAAAAGAAATACAGCCCACAATCAGGAATTTAGAGCTCTTACCATTTCCATTATGAGGTGTCCACAAACAAAGCACTTGTCAGCTGTTTGCTGAAAACCTGAATACTGTTGAAATAACAGAAGGGAAAAAATTATTAGCAAGTGACCCCTCTAGCTGCCGAAAATACCTCTGACATAAACACCGTGCTATTTTTCAGTCTATGCTGTATATGATAGTAACTATACAATAGGTTTGGAAGACACAAATCCAGGAGCCAGGGACTTAACTGCCTTGTGGATGAGATGCTGAAAGTCCCGTTTTAGGTGCTGAGGCTCCTTCTGCAATGCAGGCCAGTGTAACCTACCCCAGGAAAGCAAGAGCTAACCAGGAGCGCGTGCTCAGGGCTGCACGGCGGGGAGAGGGGCCGGGACAGGCCTGGCCGCAGAGCCCCCCGCGCTCAGCGACAGGAACATGGCCGCAGGGAGATGTCCCTGTCCACTTGGCTCCAAAGCTCCGAGTCCCCTGAGTGTTTTACACCTCAGCTCCAGATTTGGGTCCCTAAAGCAGGTCCTGTTTCAGAAATCAAAGTCCTTTTTCAACCCAAGGTTTAGAGGCACATTAGAAAAAAAAAAAAAGAGACAACATCAGGGTTATCAGGTCAGATGACTGACCTACCGGACAACTACCCCACAGGGTAGCAGTGGCCTGAGGAACTCCAGCTATTTAATTTTGAAACTGGTATTTGCAGTGGCTGAACTTTACCCTTACCCATTACAGTCCCATATAATCTAATTGCTGCATGTGCATTCTTTCCTGCCAGAGGGAAGGGTGCCTGGGTATTTGCACAGGACTGCACAGTCATGTTTAACTTCAGCAATTAAGGTCATAACAAAGCTCATCTGAAAGGTACTGTGGTCACCTAAGAGAAGAGACATGGAATGGGAGGCCAGGGGTAACTGGATTCTGCTGCCAGAGTTTAGAGCATCTCATGCATCCTTGCAGCTTCAGCCTACAGAGCCTATGCCTTGCGCCATTGCCCCCTTGATTTAGTGGGGATTAACTGTCCCCTTGCTTCAAAAGCTACTGCTTCACAGCCTAAAGCTGCCATATGTTTTCCTTTGTATTGGTGTAGAGGATTATATGTTATTTCAAATCCATAGGTTGAAGGCCAAATTATGGTTGCTATGCAACAAAAGAGATTATGAAGAGATGGGTCTAAGACACCTTCTTGTATCCATGAGTCAGTAAACGATGCTACTGCAGCTGGCGCAGCTCCCCAATTGCTACCCACTAAAGAACACAGCTCAGTTTTATGAAACTTTTAACATTCTAGGATGTTCAGGAACAAATGCAGAGGTAGGCAGACCATTTTAGCTGGCTGTTTCTGCAAAATATTATCCTGAACTGTGTAATGGAACTGGCATGCAAGTCTAGACATAAAAGTTTGGGTGGGTTCACCTCCCCACTTTCAGGTAGCTGCACTCGTATCCAAGTATTTGCCTTTTCTTCTTCTTACTGAGGCAGGAAAAAAGGCCTCTCTCCTTGGGATGCTTCTTGGCAGCACTATATCTGAGTAACCATCTGGCTAGACTATTTCCCAAGGTTGTGAACTCTGGGGTTACTGGAAACAGGTGGGTAGGTCCTAGCAGAGCAGACAGCAGAGGATTAACAATAGTACAAACCTAGCTAATTCCAAAATCCTGCTGGAATGAATTTACCAGTACCATCTGGCTGTCATTTGATAAGGAATGCAAAGGCCCATTTACCCAGTTATTGATTAGAAAGAACATTATTCCCCAAGAAAAGAATGGCTTAGTGGTCAGATTTATGTCATTTAGTGCTAACTAGATTGTCATAAATTACACTGCCTGTCAGAAAGAAAGGTTTTGCTGACAAAAAATCACTCTTTATGACTAACCCTATTAAATTAAAACCATGATTTGTTTTTAACAAGAGAATTGTTATTTGTCAAACACATCCAGAGCTGGATTACCTAGTTAAGAAGATTTTGTAAAATGGCAGCAAGTCTAATAACAGTGATAAAATATTTCATGGGCTCAGGGAGCTCTTTTACCACTGCTCTGTTCTCTCTTCTGATCACAGCATTGATATGGCCAAACGTGAACCTGCCTGATTCAGTAAGAGCTGACATTTGGATTGGACTCTGCTCACCCTTTAAATCTGTCTGGACTGGAAAAGAGCTACAGTCCCGCATCTCGGTGCACTGCTTTTCTACATGACGTAGCACTGTGATCACTGCTGCTTAAAGGTAATCAATAAATGACTTTCTTCACATTTTTGCATCTCACCTGTGAACTTCAGCTTCACTATGTTTGCTTCTGTTATTCACTGGAGAACTCAGATTTGGTTGTTGTGCTAAGTTTTCAATTTTAAAAGCAGAGCTTACCAAAAAAGTCTTAAATGCTAATTAAAATGGGCAACCCCAGTCTTTGAAGCACTAGATTAATGTATCAAGCTTCACAAATCTTGTGTGTGCAACAAGACAGAAGTGCCAATTGCTGCAGACAGCAGAGAGGCAGAAGGGCCCCCCAAACTGCCACAGCGGCGGGTTCCCGCGCGGCCGGGGCGCACGGGAGCAGAGCCCGAGTCAGCAAGCGGGGTCGGCTCGAGGGAAGCAGGGCTGCGTTCTGCACTTGTCACCTCTTTCATTACTGACATAGTCGGAAGGGGAGGACAAGTTTTGGGCGCACCAGCCTGCTTCGCAGCCCAGAAACATGAGAACCAGATTGAGGTGAAATGGTGCAATAACATGGGTAGATAGGTAGGATCCCAGTGCAGAAACCAAATCAGAGTTACATTATTTTATACATACACTATCACCGAGGGCATAAGTAAAACCAGGTTTAATTCTGGCCTGACTTTGTAAGGTTCTTGTGGGTGCCATTAAAAACCAAACCAAACCAAACAACTATTTAGTTGGCAGACCAATAAGAAAATGTAAATACAGACCAATCTCAAACTAGGCAGAAATTTTCACGAGGTACAGACCATACGTAACCACAACAAATAAGGATGGCATTTTTTAACATTAAAAAATATTCATTTTTAGATTCTGATTACACATTTATAAAAACATTGAAAAAAAGATTTTATAAAAGAGACGGCTTTGAAAATCAAAGCTCGAAATGAAACAATAGCCTATACTCTCACTTACATAGAAATAAGATGCTAGTTACCAACACACAAAGAAGGCAAGTGCATATTGAAAAACTGATATTATTTTCCTCAATTCCTTAGTTTGTTGAAAAGTGTTTTCTCTCATGTATGTTCTTGTCCTTTATCCCTCTCCCAGGATAAAAAAAAATCTTAGTTAATGTGCAATAATCAAGACTTCGTAATCGAGATCCCCAATGATATCTATATAATGTAAGAGCCTGAGAAGCTGAATAAGCCTTGAAAAATATGTTAATTATGTTGGAATAGAAGAGTAAAAATAAAGTAGAAGGCTTGGCTGGCTGAATTTTTCTTTTGTTAGCTGTCCACTATACTTTGATTATCAAACAGGCAAAAAATCCGAAGTGATTTTCTCCAGAAGTCTTTGTTTCAATGGAAGAAGAAAACAAGTCCCCCTCTGTCCTGAATATTTGGGCCTGTTAGCGTCCTCCTGTGATAATCTTTGGGTTTATGAACTCTTCTGTCAAATGCGCAATATATCCAAAAGAAATTAACAATGAATTTTGAGCATATAATGAACAAATTATGCATGGAAGATAATCCCACCAACTACTATGAGAAACAATTTCTCCTGTCTGCCCTCAATCCTTTAACCAATCTTGGTTGTCTACCCAGGATCGTTTAAAGTTTCATGTTCTCATCACCGTTCTCAAAAGCAAAAACATTCAGAAAGCAGCATGCCTGAGAAAGGCTTCAGGAGCCACGTCTCTACCTTAGGCAACATCGGATCTTTGCAAAGATGCGTCGCTTCCGTGCCCTCCCACGCCTGGCTGTGCCGGGGAGCGGCTGCTGCGCTTCCCTGCTGCTCTGCACGCAAGCAGACAAAACCTTCCTCCTGGAAACAGGCCCTGGAATCTCATTCAAACCCACTTGCTGCTTTGATGGGACGTGTGAAACCTGCTGCAGGTTTATGGTAACGGCTCGAGCGGGTTACGCGTCTCAGTAGGTGAGGCGGCGGCCGCTGCACGAGGGTGCGGGGCTGCAAGCAGCACAGCCGCTGCGGGAGCACTGCAGAGCCACTGAATGGGGCAGGTCAGCTTAGAATTGAGATTCCTGCTCTTTGGCGCTTTAAAGGCTCTTAAGAGGCACGATCAGGAGTTTTTGCCAAAATGCTTCAGCCATTTAATTCTGAAAACTAATTTCTGAATTGGGTGCTGCGCTAATAATGTATTCCGACCCCAGGCTGCCTGTAATCCCTCACAGACTCTCTCCTCCTTGGTTTCCCATTAGCAGAGCATCTGTCTTCTCACTGCTGTATTGTTTGCTCTCTGCATGGGACCCTTAGTACATGGGACACAACAATGTAAGAAATTCATGGGATCACATTAAGAGAGGGAGAGAATATCAAATATGGTTTCATGCAGATGGGTTCTTGTTGCTTTGCTTTTTACACACACACAGATTTAAATGCAATGATCAAAATATACTGAACAAAACGGGGCTGCCTCAGGCTCAAAGATATGGGAGCCTCATGGCAGGTGGCAGAGATTAAATAAAAGCAAAATTGCCCCAAACTCTATTCTTTATCTCCCCTGAAATCCTGTAATTTATCCTGTTGCTTTGCTTCGTCTTGTGGCCAGTGAGGCAACATGACTTAGGAGGAAAGTTCCTCCTAAGGAACCTCCTAAGGAGGCTTCGCTTCTCCTGGCTTCCCACCTTATACTTGGAGGACATAGGTAAGGCAAGGAGGGACTTCAAGTTCTGCACAGAGGTAACAGTTGGTTAGGCCATGCACAAAACTGATGAAAATGAGGAATTATGCTGGCAGCTAATTTTGCCTTCAGATTCAGGCATTTTATAGCCTCTACGAAGGCAATAACCATATACTTGCATGCTGTCTAGAGAGCCTAGAGAGATCCATGTGCCAACATCTGCCAAAGATATTTTTTGTTTCACCAATTAAAAGCCAAATAATGATTTTCTTATTTAG